TCCCGCCGCGCTTCCTTACAAAAATCTATTTGAGGCTAGTGAACACAATGTAAGAAATGAGAGGTTCAACCGTGTTCCCTTAATGTAAATATAAACTCTTCGTAATATCGTTACATCCGAGAATAATTAATCATTTGTTAATTACACATCCATGTAATCACACGAGGCCCTAGTGGAAGTTTTGCACTCGGTGCAATAACCTCAAAATCGCCGGAAAATATAAATTTATCATTATGTAACTCTCGTAAATTTTCACTCTCAAAAATCATTCTCATATAACATTTCTCAAAATATCTTGGATATAAAAATTATGTAGCAGAGTCTTTTTGGAAGCATCAAGTTCTCTCGATAAACTATGTTTTTTTTTCTTCCCCCCCGCCCAAAAAAAAATATTATAACAATTATCTTTGTCAGTTTCTCACGTTATCGATGAGTATCTTGCAAACTTGAAAAACACATTTCGAGTCAGAGATTAAAATCAAGTCTATCGAGGACAATTTCAGTGTTTTTCTATACTCTACTTCTCATTTATCTCTTTCTCTCCTCCCTCTCTCCCTCCTCCACCCTCCTCCTCCTCCTCCTCCTCTTCCTCCTCCTCCCGACTGTCATCGTCCTTATTCTTCTGACCATCGACGATCTTGCCGCTCTCGGCGAAATGCCGCTTTCTGTGTACCTTCATATTATCCCTCCTATTGAACTTCCTACCGCATTCCGGACACGCGTGAGTTTTCTCCCCATGAACATGCCTGTGCGCGGCAAGATGACTGGCCTGCGCAAAGCTCGCACCGCACTTTTGGCAGACATGCTTCCGCAGGCCCTCATGCTTCAACAAATGTTCATTCAAAAAGGCCTTGGAGGCGTACTTATTATTACAAATATTACAGACAAAGGGCTTTGGATTAGAGTGTTGAAAGACATGTGCCTTGTACTTGCTGGCAACTTTAAAAGTCTTTGCGCATATGTCGCAGGTGTAGGTGGTTGCGTGACGCGTTTTAATGTGTTCATTGAGAACGGCAAGACTCGAGTAAAGATTGTAACAGAACCGACACCGAAAGTTGCGCCTATTTTTGAGATGAACACTCCCGATGTGACTCAATAACCTAGTGCGGAATGGAAAGACCTTTCCGCAGTATTCGCACGCCAGATTCTGCGGTGGAAGATGGGACTTTACGTGCATCTGCAGCGAGACCTTGTGATGGTAACTCTGGCCGCAGTCATTGCACTTGTAAGGCTTGATACCCTTGTGAACGTTGTCGTGCTCCGTCAGATCAAACTTGGAGCGGAACCTCTTGGGGCACTTGGGACACTGCATCGGCCGGGGATTGGTATGCGAGCACCGAATATGCTTCATAACATCACTCTTGCAGACAAATTTAGCCGTGCACAGGGTACACGCGTACTGCTTAATCCCAAGATGGGTTTTCACGTGAACGGTGCACTTGTCCCTCCGCTCGTAAAATTTTTTGCAGAGCTTGCACGTATAGCCGTGCTGTCCGTCCAATGTCGCACTAACGACATTATCATCGACGCGTATCTCCTCGCCGTCCACACGGAATAATTCCTCCGGATTGCGGGCAAGCGCGCCCGCATCATCCGTCGAGTCCGTCATCGAGGATAACCTCTTCTCAAGCTCCTCAAGTTGGAGTTTTCCATCTTTGTCTTTATCTTTAGAGCTCTTGGACTTGGATACCACCGAGGTAATGATTTTGTTGAGCTCGGCATTGTCGTTATCACCAAGGAGATCAACGATTTCCGAATCAACGAGGCACGATCCCTGATCCGGAAAGACTTTAGCCAAAACAGTTGTTACGTTTTCCGTCTCGTCGTGCTTTTTCCGTAGCTGAAGGGTAAAACTTATGTCCTCGATGTCGCCATTACGACCTTTTGACTCCTGCACGCAGACCTCGACGTCCGACGATCCCGACACCGCAGTGAGAACCTTGTTAAGGGCAGAGGTGGGAATTTGAATGGTTTGCCTCTGCTCTGCAGATGGCTCAAGCGTTTTGTGGGATTTCGCGGTCGGCGAAGGGGAGGGCACGGAGGGAACGGAGGGAGCTATCGGTTTTTCAACGTTCTGCGAGCGTAATCTTGTGACGCGTGAGACTACGGTGCGAGGGGGGGCTGTGGCGACTTTCGGCAGCGAACGCTTTGGTTTCCGTTTCTTCGCGTTTTTCGCCGACGTTTCCGTCGTGTTCCGGCTGCGGAGCCACCGGCGATTGGGTGTTGGGGCTGTGGCTGGGGGGACCTTCGCCTCATTCGCCGATTTTTCGGGGGGAGACTTTGAGCGGGTCTGGGTGGGACGGAGATTGCGTTTGGGGCGGGGGGGCTCTTCAACAGGCGGTGGGGGATGATTCTCCGGTGAGGGATCGACGTTTTCAATGTCTGCGGTGGAGTTGAGGTTTTTTTCGCTACTGTTGTTGTTTGTCGAGGTTGACGGAGATTCTGGGGTCGGTGGTGGATCCTCTGGTTTTATTTCCACGGGAAAGAGAGTCGATTCCTGAGGCACGGGAATCATAGATGTACCAGGGGCTCATGGTGGTCGAGTCTCTGGGGAGGGGGTGGAAAGGCAGGAAAATGTGTCTCCCAGTAGCTCTGGGAATTATTATCGATGGGAGTTGAACGGAATTCGTGGTACTAGCGTGTTTTCATGGATTTTCGCTTGGATTTTCGCTTGGATTTTTGTGGTCTGGGAGTGGCCAGAGACTCAGAGAGAGCGGTAGTGAGAAAAAAAAAAAAAAAACATTCATGGTAATTAAAAAAATGAGAGACTTACGAGGTCTGGCAAAGGTGGTAGATGATAACGATCGCGCAACAGTCGTTGAGTACGTAGACACTCCTCTTGAAAGTCACAGACAAATTCGAGTTTTCCCAGACATTGAACGCAGATCGTCTTTGGAAGAGGATCCGTCTCATCTATCTGTCATATCAAACAAGAAACTAATTTAACCAGAGCCCCAGCTTCAGATTGTCTAGGTGGTTATCATTTTCTTTGAGTGGAATATCGATTGCAGGAAATTTATTGAGGAAAATAATAATAATTTATGCAAGACACTGGGGCAAAATGAGTTATTTTGTTCCTCAATTTTAATGGAAATTATTTCAAGCTATTTATATTTATATTTTTAGACCAAAAAATCATTGATAAAATGAAATGATTATAAATTGTTGAAATGCGGAGAGTCATATTTCTTATCAATAAAAATTGGATTTCTATTGAAATAGAGATGTATAAATTGTTTGATATTTTCATCAAAGAAACAGTTTTTTTAACCCTACCGCTCCACCAATTGTTATTAATTGCCATGATTAGAAAACAAATGTGATGGAAAAATTTGGATTTTGTCAAGTTTTGGGTCCATCCATGATTCAAGTACCTCCAGATATGCCTCCTCTCCCACTTTCATTCTCACGGCCTTCCTTATCTCTTATTTATTATTGTTAAAGGACGAAAGAAAGCCAAGCATTTGCCGCCACAAATAAAGCACATGGACATGGTTTGTTGTCGCTTTTGTACATATTGTTTATTAATTATTAATGATGAAGTTATGTTGTTCTAGATCGGTGGAATGAGGAGCTGAAGAGGTTAATGCATTTTTTATAGAAGCAAAGCACTGGCTGACTAGTTGGGGATTAAGAGAAAATAGAGGGTTGATTGTCTCATTAAATCCACAGGGAAATTTCTCACCGATAAGGAGCACAACAATTAACAGCACAGCAACACCAACCAATAATATGAGCGCAATGACAATAAAAATGTTAATAGACAAATGATTTCAGTTGTGTCAGATTCAACTGAACTTTATGAATAACAGTCGATTTGTTAATTATCATATTATCTCAACAACTAGTGGTTTTAGGGGAAAATGTGATGAGGAATTTTTTTGTCGAGAATTTTTTCTGATATATTTAAAAAACATTGTCTGACATTTTCACTTTGAATCAATAATTACCGAGATAATTGCATATACTCAACTGCTAGTTTAAAACTCTTTAGTGAGTGTTTTCACTACAACAATTTCAAATTCCCAATCAACTATCTAACACCTTCCAAAATCACCAGTTGACACTCACTCAACCACACTCAACAACCCCAATCCCATCCCCATGTCGTCACTTAACCCCTCCGTCAGCAGCCCCCGTCCGCACAACAAGAATCGTCAGAAAAACTCACCAGAATGTTGATCCTCGAGTGAATTTTCAGCCCCAGGAGTCGCCTCGTTCCCTCGTCCCCAAAGACATCGATGTAAATGCTCTCGAATTGTCCACACAAACGGCAAACCTGCGCCTCGCCACCAACCTTCTCGTCCATTTTGCCTGAGTGGAGTGGTGTGCTAACTATCGAGACGGGTGCTCCCCACCACCCCCCTCGCTTCTGTTGATTCGTCACGTCCCAACCTCAAAGACAAACTCTACCTGATTTTTCTCCCATGAGAATTCATTTCTTCCTCGCAACACTTTAGTAGAAATTGCCCTCTTATCGATTGCCACCAACTTCCCGTCAGGTCCAGTCGGTTCTAGGGTTGATATGGAGGATCTAGGGGTGGAAAATTGTTGGATATTCGAGGGAAACAGGGGAACGCTTGGAGAATGGCCGACGCTTTGTTCCGTTCCAATGGATTTTTTATTTTTATATTATCCAAGCACTTGAGAGTTCTACGAGTTCCTTCGGGCTTGTTATCGGTTTCTAGGGATCTTTGGGGGATAGAGCATTGATAGGAGACTTTGGCACTTGAATTTTCTGGACTTTTTCACGGGGAGAGACACTTTGTGTGGACAAACGTGCGGAGGTGATTGTGTACGGTACGGGCGTTTGGCGCAAGCGCAACAGACGAGACCACCGGCCGGGCTTCGGGGGGTGGGGGGGCGA